GAAGGGCAGAGGGAGCTGGGAAGCTCCAGCCTAGCAACGCCCCAAGCTGCAGGCCTAGTGAAAGGCCGATGAAAGGGTACTGGGGCTGCAGAGGGGCAGCCCAGAGATAGGCAGAGGCAGTTGGTCCAACCCCCCTTGCCAATGATGAGTGGTTCATAGTCTGCAGTCTGCCCCAGGGAGTGGGGACTAGATGGTGACTGGCAGTGGCCACTGAGGCAAGGTGGGAGGGGTAGAGGGTTGGGGGATCCCCTGGGTGGGGAGACTTGGATTGTGGGTTACTGCAGGAGCAGAACCCTGATGGAGGAGGGCACCAGGGTCTGGGAGAGACACAGGGGCCAGCGGCAGGCGAGACACCGGCCTGCAGAGGGCGCTCCTGGCCGGAAGAGCTAATTCCCAGGACGACCGACAGGAGGCACCTCACTGGCAAGTCATTGCCCTGCGACAAGGCCTTTCAGATTCTCCCCCGACTCTGCTACAGATTTACTGAACAGTCTTAGGCAAGTCACTTAAGCTCTGCCTGCTTCAACTGAAAAATGCTAATGCTTTTTTCACAGTGGTGTTTTGAGACTTACTTTGTAACGAATACACAAATTCGGACAAAGCATCTTTGTGCTTTCTACTGCACTGCCCTTCATAACGAACACATTATCCTGCTGCAAATCGCTGTTTAAGACTCTACTTTGACATGATGCCACCATAAAATTTGACAACACTTCAGCTGCTGGTGTGCAGAGACCATTGCCGATCATGCTGACCAATACTAGCTCACTGTTTACTTGTATTCCCCTCTGTCTGTGTGTATCAATCTACTGGCTCATGGTTCAATTGTAGATTGAAAGCTCCTTGGGACAGGGACTGTCTTTTGTTCTGTTTGTAAGAGCCTAGCACAATGGGATTCTGGTCTATGACCAGGGGTCTTAAGTGCCATATTATTGTAAATGAATAATTTATAATTGTTACAAACTGGTTTGCAACTGTCATCCATAAGGCTCTGTGCAAATTATCAGCCTTAGGGCTAGCCAAAAAATTTCAAATGAAACATTTTCCTCATTGTACAAGGGGGTTTGGTCAAAAATGTTTTGCTTTTGAAAGCTCCATTTGGTGAAATTGTCCATCAAGAAAATCTTAAACATTTAGACAGTTCTGAAGCCAACTTTCAGGCATTTTTAAATTTAATAAAAATGTGGCTATTTAATCATTTTTCCCCAATTCAGCCAAAAAACTAATGTTGCAAGAGTGGAATTTCTCCTGGGAGGCCCATTTTGTTTTCCAATGAGTTCTAATTAATATAGATTAGATTTCATGCTTTTGGTTGCAAGGGGGCACTTGTAGGAGCTGTTTATCCCGAGATGTATCATTGCACAACTAATTATAAAAGACATATTGAGCATTTTTGGAGCCTCAGGAATCTATCCATTCTAGGTTATTAGAGTAGAACGGCCAGTTGTCTGATCTATGGCAAACCTTTCATTCTCATTTGGGCCTCCCCCTTTCTGCCAAGCTAGCACTAAGCATGAGGCAGATACCAGAAACTAGACTGAAAACTATCAATCTTGCAACAGGCATCAGTCTGGATCCTCATTCAGATTAGCATTCTGGAAGCCTCCCTGTCCAGATAGCAGTCTTCTGAGCTACTTCCAATGGTGCTAGCCTCCCTACAGCATGGCAGTGATGCAACTAGACAACCATGACTTATATTATCCTCTCCCAGGAAAGAATGAAGGTGTGCTCAAAGCAACAGCGCAGAACACTGGAATCAGAGCGGCATGACTTGAGGATGGCCATGACCATCGTTACAATAAGGACAGCCACCAAGAGAAGTGTTAACGGAAGCCAAGCCACTTCTGTGCCAGAAGGCAAAGCCAACGCACTTGTGCAGTGAAGAATGCCAGGGAAATGCACAGACGCTCCTTACTATTGTGTCTCAGGAAAGATTTATGAATGTGCTTAGCTAGGAATGCCTATCTTCCAAATTATGCTCGGTCCCATGTCTGGATCGCCTCCAGATTTCATCCTCCCATCCTCCTAAGACAATCTTGCCGAGAGACGGGCTGTGATAGTGAGCACTCACCTCTCCTGAGCTCCTCCTGGCAGGTGTGTGTGAACCTTCACTCTCTGCTCATGGTGCCCCCGCCATCGGCGATTCCCTCATCAGGCGAGTCTTCAGTGGCTCAGCTCTCCAGCCAAGTCACACACAGTCAACATGAGCCAGCAAACAAGGTCCAACAGAGCTTGACCCCTGTGTCGTTGGTAACGTCTGCAGCCCTGTCTCTGAGCTCAGTTCTCAGCCCCTCCTGGGCTAGCTTTAAGTCTGTCCCTGCCGTGGTTTAGAGCCATGCCCCCAGAGCTTCCTCCCTGGAGACTCTCTGTCCTCAGCGGGTCTCACTGACCCTGTTTAAACGCAAGCCCAGTGGTTCTCAAACTTTTTTGTTCACACAGCAGGCCTCTGAGTGCAACCCTACCCCCTAGGCCTGGCAGGGCTGACAGTGCCCGCTCTGACTCCTGACAGCTCACAATCCCCACATAACCACCTTGTGACCCCTTGAGGGGTCATGACCCCCAATTTGAGAACCCCTGTTCTAGCCCTTTTCCTGGGCTTTTAGTACTGAGTCTTATCCCCTTTTTCAGGCTTTGACAGCTTCCCCAGCAACTGGTGGGGGGACCCAGGTGGGGGGACCCAGGCTCACTCACTACTCTGGATCCCAACCCAGGGACCCTACAAACAGGAAGCCACATGCTGCTTCCTTTAATAGTTACTGCTGCTATTCCCTGGACCACTTCCCACATAGTCCCTGTCACTCCACCCTTACCTCAGGGCAGAAGTTCTCTGTTGACCAGGTCTCCCACAGGCCACTTCACCTGGAGACTCTCACAGTCTGCCTCATCCTTCTGGTCCCAGCCAGCAACTGACCTGGGTACGCCCTGCACCTTCTTTTAACTGAGCCTGCTGCATTCTGATTGGCTGCTTCCCCGCAGCCTTTCTAGGCATGCCTGGAGGACCCAACTTCACTGCTCCTTCTCTGGGGCGGGGTGTGGTAGGACAGCAAAGCCTCCAGCGGGGAGCCTCAAAGGACCCAATACACCCCGTCACACTGGCATTCTTCATATTGCCGTGCATTGTTAAATATCTACTGCCCTTTGTCCCGGAAATGGCTTGGCTTCAGTCAGCATTTCTATTTGGTCAATACATCTGGATGATCATCTCAAGAGAAGTGAATGTCTGGCGATGATTCGCATGCTTACAGGTGGGTAAACTGAGGCGCTGAGCTGCTAAATGACTTGCCCGTAAGGTCACTCGGCAAGTCAGCGGGAGACACAGGAATAGAATTTCTCTAGATCTAACCACTAGACAACACTCCCTCTCATTTTGACCTTGGAATATAAATAAAATACATAAAAATAAAGGGCTGCCCTATTAGTTTTAATATATGACCATGTGTCACTTATGAGTCAATGACAATATTCTCGCAAACTGATGGGTTTAAAGAGGGTTGGGGCGGGGGAGGCATTTTCCTGCTGGAAAAGAATAAGTGCTCTGATATTTGCGCCTGCTGAAATAAAATGTCTACGCTGTGTTAAATCAGCATAGTTCTTTTGTTTTATTTGAAAGTACAATGGGAAGATGCTGTCTGAAGAAACAGACCGAGCGTGCCGTGGGCTGGCTTTGTGTCTGTGAGGCAGATTAGCACTCAGAGGAACAGAGAGCTATCTGGGAGGGAGGGGGAATTGGAAAAAGACATTTGTACGCAGTCAGGGAAAGAACAGGAGTGTTTCAGTATTTGTTTAAGTGGCTAAGGACCCAAGCCTGCCAGCGCTGAACGCTCAAAGTGACTATTGCAGGAGGCACTCAGTGTTTCATCCTGCTCAGATCCTGAGGCAGGGTCGGATTGTGTCCTGTCCCTGTGTGGATGTTCAGGGCAGGGAAGATGACAACAAGAGGTCTCCCCTCCCCACTCCATTCCCTGCACAAGGACAGGGTACAATCACAGCCGCATGCTCTCTCCTAGAACCCCCAGAGCGCAGGCTACCCAGAATGGGGTAGGGAGGAGATGGGGCCAAACTCCTCTCCCAGTCTGCACTGGCCCACAAAGCTGACCAGATGTGGATAGCCACAGGCGAATTGCCATAGCGGGTCAGGCCATTGGTCCATCCATCCAGTATTGCCATCTCTGGCAGTGTCCATGACCAGCTGCTTCAGAGGTAGGTGGAAGAAACACCACAATGGACAATTCACTTACCTGTAAGGGAGGCTTCTTCTTAACACCTGGAAATTTATGGGCTGGTTAATCCTTGAAGCACGAGAATTTACATCACTAACAGAAACCTATTACTCCAGCTAACATAATTGTGGCTATTCTCATTACCCACAGAGATGTCCAATCCTTTTTGGAATCATATTAAGTTCTTGGTCTCAATGATATCTTGTGGCGATGAGTTCCATAGGTTAATTATATGATCCGCAAAACAGTATTTTCTTGTCTTTGTTTTTATTTTGTTGCCTTTCAGTTTCATTGCATGTCCTCTTGTTTTTATATTATGAGAAGGAATATAGAGCAGGGCCTGGTTTACCTTCTCTATACTATTAATTATCTTGTATGCCTCTATCAAGTCACTTATTTGTCTCTTCTCTAAACTAAACAGTACCATTCCTTTCTAATGGATGTCTCCCCAATCCTCTAAACCATTCTCGGCACATGTCTCTAAATCCTCTGTTTCTGCCATCCACTTTCAGGGATGGGGTGATCAGGATTGAACTTGGTTCCTGGATGGCATGATAATAGAATCATCAAACCATAGGGTTAGAAGGGACCACCAGGGTCATCTAGTCTAACCCCCTCCCACGATGCAGGATTTGTTGTGTCTAAACCAGGGGTAGGCAATCTATGGCATGCATGCCAAAGGCACACACGAGCTGATTTTCAGTGACACTCACACTACCCGGGTCCTGGCCACCGGTCCGGGGGGCTCTGCATTTTAATTTTAAATGAAGCTTCTTAAACTCTTTAAAAACCTTATTTACTTTACATACAACAATAGTTTAGTTATATATTATAGACTTACAGAAAGAGACCTTCTAAAAATGTTAATGTGTTACTGGCACGCAAAACCTTAAATTAGAGTGAATAGATGAAGACTCAGCCCACCACTTCTGAAAGGTTGCCGACCCCTGGTCTGAACCATCCCAGACAGTTGGCTCCAGACTCCTTTTGAAAATCTCCAGTGAAGGAGCTTCCACAACCCCTCCAGGCAGTCTGTTCCATTGCCCTACTGGTCTTACCGTTAGGAAGTTTTTCCTGAGATTTAATCTAAGTCTGCTATGCTGTAGTTTGACCCCATTGCCTCTTGTCCTGCCCCCTGCGGCAAGAGAGAACAACATCCCTCCATCTTTTTTGTGGCAGCCTTTCAAATATCTGAAGACCACTATCATATCTCCCTTAATCTCCTCTTTTCCAAACTAAACATACCCAGTTCCTTCAGCCTTTGCTCACACGGCTTGCATTCCATCCCTTTGATCCTCTTTGTCGCTCACCTCTGGGTCCTTTCCAGTTTCTCTAGATCCTGTCTATACATTGGTGACCAAAACTGGACACAGTACTCCAGCTGAGGCCTCACCAGCACTGAGCAGAGCAGCTCTATCACTTCCCATGGCTTGCACGCTGTGCCGCTGTTATGCAACCCAAAATTGCATTTGCTTTTTTCGCAACAGCATCACATTGTTGACTCATGTTGAGTTGTGATGCACCACATCTCCTGGAACTTCTCAGCAGAGCTGCTGCTAAGTCAATTTTCCCCCAGTCAGGATTCGTGCAGTTGGTTTTTCTTCCCTAAGCAAAGCACCCGACATTTGTCTTTGTTGAATTTCATTTCTACAATTTATCAAGAACCCTCTGAATTTTAGCTCCATCCTCCAAAGTATTGGCAACCACCCACCCCAACCTTTTGCCATCTGCAAACTGGATCAGTGCGCTCTCTATACCTACCTCCAGGTCAGTAATAAAGATGTTAAAAAACACTGGACCCAGAACAGATTCCTGGGGAACCCCACTTGAGATCTCCCTCCAATCCAACAGCATTCCATTAATAGTTACTCTTTGTTTGCAGTTGTTTAATCAATTATGTATCCACTTAATGGTATTCTCTCAAGCCTGCATTTCTCCAGCTTATTTATCAGAATGAAATAGAGGACTGTGTCGAAAGCCTTGCTAAAGTACAGGTATATTATGTCCCCCTCTATCTCCCTATCCATGAAATCAGTTACCCTGTCAAAGAAGGGTAATAACGGCAGGATTGTTCTCCATCCCATTCCTTAGGTACCCTAACTTTCAGGACCGACCGCACCAGCCAATTGCACTGGCCTGCAGGGCCCCCCCAAAGCACGGGGCCCCAAGCAATCACCCCGATTCACTGTCCCCTAGGGACAGCTCTGCCTGTGTGGGCAACACATGATCTGGCTCTTGGCATGCAACCCTGGTAAACATGGGTCCAAACCAAAACGCTGGGTCTGACTCTCCCTCCCCTGCAGACTTTGAATCTACTTAGAACTCAAGTGTGCTGGTAGCACTGTGGAGTGATTTAATTGGCCATCTTAATATTTCACCTGCAGTGACCAAGAAAGAAAAATCAGCATTTGCTAACATTTTAGAGCTGGTCAGGAAAAACCAATTTCAAAGGGAACATCCCTTCGACCCAAACCGTGATGAGACCTCAAAATCTTGAACAATTGTGTGGAGTGGAAATTCTGAAACATTACGTCAGAAACATCAAACTGACCTTATCAAAACGTTTCAGTTTGATAATGCCAACATACAATAATATGTATGCAGAAGATTATAATCTATAGATAGCAATATTACAGGTATTAATCTGATACTAAAATTAATTAGAAGGCAAAATGTTTTAAAAGAATGAAACAGAGTCAAAATGAAATACTCCATTTCTATTTCAAATCAGTAAAAAAAAAAAAAATCCATGGAACATTTTTTGACAACATTGCGTTTTCCCATGGAACTTTTCTGTCGCAATTTTTTCAATCAGTTCTACTTACCACCCAGAGCTATCTGAGATACCCCTGGTATTCCCTGCTCTAACCGTAAGGGAAATCTGTGGTAACTCAGCCATATCTGTTGGTAATGGTGAGCCCTGTGATATCATAGACTGAGAAAAGACACCACGACTTACTACTTAAAAAGCCATTTTCATCTGTGGAGTTTAACATGCATTGCCAAGAGGATGAGTATTATCATCTCCACTTTACAAATAGGGAAACCAAGGCACGGGGAGTTGATGTGACTTTCCCAAGGTCTCTCAATGACTTGGCATCAAAGCCGGGATTAGAACCTTGATTTGCTGTTTCCAAAGGTCCTGCTCTAAACACTGGCTCATACTGCTTTACATCCTTCATTGTTCTTATAGTCTCATAGAATTGTAGATGTTAGAGATGGAAAGATCTACAAGGTTAGCCAATGTCTCCCTGTAAACTCAGGATTCTTCCATGCAGCGTGCTATAGATTAGCACTTTATGGAACCTCTCCATAGCAATGACACAAGTGATAAACCTTCCATCATTTCCCTTGGGGAAACAATTCCACAGCTGATTAGACTGCAGCATTAGGAAACATTGCTTGACAGCCAACCATTGCTACAGCTTCTATAATTGGCTGATATATTATTAATGGGAGGCAAAATAAATACAGGTATTAATGCTAGTGGACATCATCGCGTACAAATAGCTGTTAGAGTAATGTGTTCCCCTTGTTTTTAGTGTCTATTAGTCTTTTTATAGAGTGTTACAAGGCCCTTGTGAATCCATTAGCCAGCCAGCCATGTGAAATTAATGTAGAGCAATTTTCATAAGCGTTACTCAGTACTAATAATAATTAGGCATTATTTTCCCTGCAGATGACACACAAAATAAAGTCTGACTCTTATGCCAAGATGGGTTTGCATTAGCTTAAGGTGGATGAATTAATTCTCATTTACAAGGCTGCTCTGCTAGCTAGCCAGAAAGCACCCAGGTAATTAAAACCAATTTGCTCCCCACAATCCTACTGCAGAGTTTTATCATTGCTGTAAGTCCTTGGGCTTTTATAGTGTTGCACAGGGTGGGATATTGAACAGCCATTACTGCATGACTAAGCATTCTCTTTCAAGACAGCTCAAGAGAATCTAAGAAAGGTCTCAAAATTGAAAGGACCAGAAATCATTTGGCAACATGCCTAGTTGAGAGGTAAGGGACAGATTGTGTGAGGGTTCTGAATGCCTCAGGTCATGTGCTGATTTAACCCACACACCTCTAGGGTGTGGTGTTCTGTCCCATCTAGTGGCACCGAGACACAAGAGAGAGCAAGAGAGAGGTCATGCAGTAGAGACTCATGCACTAAGCTCCAGAGATCTTAAATTCAATCCTGCCTGATGATGACCGTGGTCTGTCAGTTTACACTGAGCACCTTTAACTCTCATTTGTTTCGCTGAGCGAATGTAAATGCGCTCAGGAGAGATCCCTTAATATAAATAAAATGCTATTCACTTTTGCCTTCCTTTGTGCTATGATCTGTTTACTTGAAGTAGTTTATTCAGCCACTAGATGTCTCTCTGTGCTGCACAGAATTCCCAACACGGTGTAATCCCTGGTAAACAAAGGAGACAAAGCTAGAATTCAAGCTTTGTTGTTTGAGCTCTTTCTTTGAACCTGCAGTTAGTAACCATCTTTCTTTTAAAAAAAATACCTCCTGTTTAGAAGGACTGTGTATCGATATTAGCACTTTGTCTAATTACCATAACGGATGCCTTCTTTATACGGTGACTAATGGGCAAATCGCAGAAGGTTCTCTGCTACCTTAATTTTTTCTTGTTTCAGAGTAACAGCCGTGTTAGTCTGTATTCGCAAAAAGAAAAGGAGTACTTGTGGCACCTTAGAGACTAACCAATTTATTTGAGCATGAGCTTTCGTGAGCTACATCAGGTATGCATACATCGGGTATGCATCCGATGAAGTGAGCTGTAGCTCACGAAAGCTCAAGCTCAAATAAATTGGTTAGTCGCTAAGGTGCCACAAGTACTCCTTTTAATTTTTTCTGTAGCACCTTGTCCCAACTAAGCCCAACATTCAAAAGCAATGATGGTGGTTAGTCATAGGCCAAATTTGAAATTTCAAAGAATCTTCAGTGGCTGCAATTGAAAGACTATTTACCAGCAACTTTTCCTGCAATGATATCTCAGATACCCCTGTATTTCCTGGAACTGTACTTAGACTAGGAAATAACTGCTTGTTTCTGATGCAACTGTTTGGGAAGTGCTGACTTTTGAAAGGGTCAGGACTTCTGTTTTCCAGATTTTCTATGTTTATTGATTTAGTTTCTGACGGTCTCTCTGCTGTATCTCTAATTCATCATCCATCACATTGGCATTAGCTCATATCATTAACATGGAGCTTCACTGGATGATCCCACACAAAAGCATATTGGTAACTAGTAATTCCCAGCTCCTCCATACTCCCTGTCTGACCTTAAGCAAGTAACTAAGCCTCCTGATGCCTCAGTTCCCCACCAGGGCTGTAGTGAGGATAAATCCATTAAAGACTGTAAAGGCACAGGGAGGGGGAGGGATAGCTTAGTGGTTTGAGCTTTGGCCTGCTAAACCCAGGGTTGTGAGCTCAATCCTTGAGGGGGCCATTTAGGGATCTGGGGCAAAAATTCAGGATTGGTCCTGCTCTGAGCAGGGGGGTTGGACTAGGTGACCTCCTGAGGTCTCTTCCAACCCTGATATTCTAAGTGCTTTGAGATCTACTGATGAAGTGTCTCTGTAAGCGATAGGTGTTGTTATGAAGATTTCTATAAAGGAGAGGAGAATCAGGATGGTGAAATTGATTTTTAGTATGGTTTGAAAATCATCACTAGCAAAATAGTAAAATAGAAAAACAAAAGGAGCGAAGAAGCAGGAGATGCAGGCTGCTTCCTAGCGCCGGAGCGAAGCCGCTTTGAAATTGTGATGTTATCCAGCCCTTCGGGGATAAAAGGCTTCCCTTCCCTGGCTGTCTCTGCCTGGATCCACTCCAAGTAGTTGAAAATGAAGGTGTACATTCCGGGATGCTGTTTTTCCCCGCAGCCTTCTCCCCCGCTGACTATGCCAAGTGCGAACCACTTCATGACGTCTCCATAGGTGCAAACCAAAGGTCCCCCGTGGTCTCCCTAGGGGTTACAAAGAGAGCACAAGGGGATGATGAACAGCATCTTTTACAGCAGCTGGATCCCAGAGTTAAGCCAGGGCTGGGCCTGAATGGGGAAAATCAAACACAGAGCCCTTCCGAGGGTGAACATTTCACAGAGCAGGCCCACCTCTGTGAGATCCCCCTGGAGCAATTCAGCAGGGAAGGTGCTTTCTCAGTGTAAGATCAGGATGCTGGTCAAGGATCATGGGCAGTAGCAATGCAAGTTACCGCCACACCACCCCATCAATGTGCTTTAACCTTAAAAGACAACCTCTAGGAGAGAGGGGGAGAGAGAGAGAAAGGGTAGCTCAGTGTATGGGAGAGACCATTCAATGCTCGGCCCTTCCACAGAGACTACTAATGCAGCCAGAGGCAGATTAAGGTTTTGTGGGGCCCTGGGCCAGAGCAAGTGGGGGGCCCCTCCCCACCCCTTCTGACTGGGTGTGGTTCTGCCCCTTCCACCTGTGGACCCACCCAAGGCCCCACCCCATTCTTACCCTTCTCCCTGTGGCTCCCACCCCTGTTCTACCCACGGTCCTGCCCCATTCCACCCCCACTGGTGCCAGGCAACCCATTTGCTCCTTTCTGCCCCCCTCCTCACTGTGGCCCCAAGACTGAAGAAGCTCTGTCTCCCACCACCACCACGGTCCCAGGGCCGCAGCGGGGAGTGAGAGCTCCCCTAGCCCCGAGGCCGTGGCAGGGAGCAAGAGCTCCTCCAGTCCCGGGGCCACAGCGGGGGTCTGGGCCCTGGGGCTTCCCGCACCCCACCCACCCAGCGCTCCTTCCCCCGCCCTGCTTGCCCAGCGTTTCTGCTGGGGGGCAAGTTGGGGTGCCCATTTTTATGCCCCTCCCAATTGTCCGGGGCCCCTGGGTAGGGGCCCAGTCGGCCCATTGGCTAATCCACCACTGAAGGAGGGGGCCAGCTAGGTGCCAGTCATGGCTGGTGGGGGTGGGGGTTGAGATGACATTTCAGCAGCTCATTAGCAAACTACGAACAATCAATCCCATCAAACCTTTCTGTAACCCACCGAAGGGCACGGAGACCAAGCTCCCATTTACAGAGGAGACCAGCTGATGCACACAAACCTCCACCCTGCATTACTGCCACACTGAAAAGGCAGGTGCCTGCATTTGCTGATGTGGCTTGAAAGAGAATGATTTGTTGAGTTTCCTGTGTGATCTATAAGTACAAATGTAGCCAGGCCCCCCTGTGTAAGAGAGAGGGAACCAACATGCTGTACTGATCAAAAAGCACTCGGGAAGCTACAGCCTCTCTCTTGTAAATTTCAGACGACTTCATTTCAGTCTAAGTGCTTTCAAGGCGGTGCTGTAAATATTCCAGACGTATCTCTCTCACCAGACCCCACCATTTTACTTTCTTGTCTCCAATAATTGATGTGGCATGTAAGGCATGCCATCTAAACACGTTTCCAGAGCAAAGCGAAGGCTTTCCTGGGCAGTGCTGTCTCTCACTTTCATCCCCGTTTGAAAAGTGTCTCTGATGTCGGCACATGCGGCCTCCTCCATCCATGCAGCTCCCCAGAACCGCTGCCTTGGATTCACTAATGAGCAAGGAAATGGGCTTGCAGCTCCCACCGAAATCTATAGCAGAGATCCTTTTGGCTTCAACCGATGCAGCGTTCAGGCCCACAGGGTGTTCATATATTTTTTTTTCCTGGTGCCTTTTAACTGCCGGGAAAAATACTGCTAAATGCGGAGTCAATGTTGCATAAACTCATCATGAGTATTATTTATTAACATTCATTTGCAGTAGCACTTTGGAGCCTCAGTCACGGACCAGGCTCCCATCTGAGCTGGGCTCTACACAAACACAGAAGCCAAAGACGGACCTTGTCCCCATTTGAACCCTATAGGTCAGTGGGTCATACTGATGCTCTCCTTGCAAAGACCTCTGACTCACGCACTCTAACTAGCCCTAGGCACAACGTCCCATTTGAACATACCTCTTCTAAGGCCCACACTCTTTGAAATCAATGGGTACTTCGCTGGCGACTTCAGCAGACGCAGGATCAGGCCCCACATGCCTTATTCTGTAGCAATGAGGCTGCATGTCGTGCATCCTACTGCAGTATGAAAAACAAAGCTCCTAGTGTGGGTGTAATTTACAAGCTGCTGTATATTCTCAGAGGCTGCCTGCTAACAATGGCTTACGCTTATGAAGGGTTTTTTACAAGAGAGCATCAGAATGGCTTGACACAGCTTAGGGGGGTAGGTCCCTCTTTTATAGCTGGGGAAACAGAAGCAGAGAAGTGATCTGGTTTATACAAACTAGTGGGTCAATGGCAGCATGGGGAATAAAACCCAGGAATCCAATATTCAAAGCTCTAGATCACACAGTCAAGGCTGCAGCTCGTCAAGTTTTCATTTTACACAGTCGCTATTTCCCCCCACAACCCCAGTTAACGATGGTGCACGTTTGTCTCTTCCTTTGCACTGTCCGGTGTGCAGCGTGCATTCAGTCAGGGCTTAGGTAAGGAGAGAGAGAGCTGGCTACAGTGCCTGATACATCAGCAGCAGAGACAGGCACCTGAAAAGCTGCAGTTGGAGAAAGCTAGGCAATGCCCTGCAAACTCACTGGATGGATGCAGATCCATTTTGACTTACCTTCTTCCTGCAAATCCTACCTCTAATCCCTTTCCCAGTGAAAGAGCCTCAAGGTACCAGATTTTGAAGGCATCTAGGCACCTAAGATGCAGATAGGGACCCAGCAGGATTTTCAAAAGGCCTAAATGCCTACGGTTCCAAGACCCTCCACGTCGGGGCTTTTGAAAATCCCACTAGGCACCTATCTGCCTCTTTAGGTGCCTAAATCCCTTTAAACATCTGTCCCAAGGAGCACCATTCTTATGGGTGTGAGAAGCACAGAATCCTGCTGAGCAGAACACTGTCCCCAAACCAGGCTCACTGCAACGGGACTAATTCCACCAGCATTTTTTGTGACATCTCTGGCCATACCAAACCCAGCTCCATGGGAACTTTCAGCTTCCAGCCTGCTGTGGAGTAACGTCGGTCAGCAATACACACCAGGCATTTGCTGCTGCTAATTAGTTAAAGCATCCAGTCCCAGGGCACTGAGTTAGCTAAAAATAGCCTCTTTGCTTCAAGTGCTCTGCATTCCAGCTTAGGGACGGGTAAAAACAACCACATTAAATCAGATCTCATGCTTAATTCATGCACTCCGTGTGAATCCTCCCATTTGAAAAGGAGATGGGGATGGCATAGTTGCTGGTAAATAATTTTGAGTTTTGGCAGAAACGGCCCTTAAAAAAGGCACCTTACTTCTTGGAGGCATCCAACTATTATCTCCTTTGTCCAATGAGGTCAATGGGCTTCCATGAGGCCCCAAGTCACATTCCCCCTTATTTTTATTTATGCCGGCAACATTGTAATTTATCCAAAGAAACACATTCAGACGTCTTTTTAGGTGGGAGAACAACCCACTTGCTGCTTATTGGGTGAATACACAGCCTTTGCAAGTCATAGCTGGTTTCGTTTCTGGGTTGGTCTACACATCGACTAAGACCGGCATGTGAACCGATAACATTTGCCATTGGCGGGGAGGGAGGTAAAGGCTTTTGTGAATGGATGACTGTCACAAATAATTTTGTTTCTGAATGCATCATCTCTAGGGAAAGTTGTGGGGAGGGGAAATCGAACCCGCCACACAAATGATATTTTGTAACATGTGGGCAGGAAGGATTGATCTAGTGGTTAGGGCACTAGCCTGGGGCTCATGCGATTGGGGTTCCCGGCTCAGCCACAAGCTCCCTTTGACAGCCTGGACAAGCTGCTTCATCTACCATGTGCCTGAATTCCCCATCTATACAATGGGGATAATAGCACTGCTCTGCTCACAGGGATGTTGTAAGGACAAAATCCATTAGTGACCACAAGGTGCTCAGAGGCAGTGCTTAATTTGTGCCAGGGCTTGCCAGGGCTGAGCCCCGGCACCTCTAGGCTTGGCACTTCTGGGTGTGCTGCATCAATTATGAATGTAAAAACATTGCTTGAGTCCCGGCACCTAATTGCTTGAATCCCAATACCTCTTTCATTATAAAGTAAGCACTGCTCAGATGCTACAGTGATGAAGATCGTGTAAGCTCCTAGACTAGATTTCACAGAGAACATTTGGAGAAAGAGCTCATCTTTGAGTGCTTTAGTATCTAACAGTGAAAAGGGCTATGTAAGTGCTTGAGAGTAGCTAGATTCCAAGGCCAGAGGGATCGTTTCAATCATCTAGTCTGACCTGCATAACATGCCTCTTATCTGACTTCCCCGAATTAATTCCTGTTTGAACAAGAGCAGATCTTTCAGAACAAACCTCCAGCCTTGATTTGAAAATTTCCAATGATGGAGAATCCACCCCAACCCTTAGTAAGTTGTTCCACTGGTTAATTACCCTCACGGTTAAAAATTTGTGCCTTATTCCCAGTCTGAATTTGTCTAGCTTCAACTTCCAGCCATTGATTCTTGTTATATCTTTGTCTGCAAGACTGAAGAGCCCTCTATTATCAGATTTCTGTTCCCCATGTTGATAGTTGTAGACTGTGATCAAGTTGCCCCTTAATCTTCTCTTAGATAAATTAAATAGATTGTTCTTCTTGAGTCTTCCATGATGAGACATGTTTTCCAATCCCTTTATCTTTCTTGTAGCTTTTCTCTGAACCTCTTCAGTTTTTCAATAGGTATCATTATCATCGGTCATTTGCAGATTTGTTATTTAATGAATATTCCCTCTTTCACAAGGCTTTCTGTTCCATTTATGTGCCAGCTCAGTTTGACGCAAAGTGTTGTGGGTCTTTGCCACTTGTGTGAGGGATTAGCACGCATGACCACCAAGACACAAAGCAGGAATGTTAGCGTTAGACCACCAAGCCACTGAACCGTGTGCTTGGGTTGAGAGGGCAGATTAGACTCCACGGACTGCTCAGATCTGGGCCTCCCTGCTGAGATTGCCAACAGCTGGCCATCTGTGATGATGTTGTTTGGTGAGCTTGCATTCATCACTAGGGTATCTGACTGCCTGGTCCCGGGGAACTGGAGTGAGACCCACCACTTCACATAGACTAGCCACGAGATGAGAACAATGTTTGTTATTATTATTTGTATTTCAGTAGTGTGTAACGGCCCCAATGTGCTAGGCACTGTAGAGTCAGTCCCTGCCCCCCGAGACCTTACACCATAAATCACCAATATAGGAATATTACCCCCATTTACAGATGGCGAACTAAGGTACAGAGTGGTTTGCCCAGAGTCACACTTGGAGTCAAACAGTGTTGTCCTGTGTCCCAATCCAATGCCTTATCCATAAGATCATCGTTCCTTCAGTTATGATCTGAATAAGATTTTAACTGACGTCAAAGTAAACAGCTCTCTGTTCCATTTGCCAAAGCACTGGTCTATCCAGCTCCTCTCGTTTCCAGAAACCTTCCAAAATAAAACTGGGATATTTCCCAAATCTTCAATGAGGGATAAATCCATCAACAATTATTAGCCAGGATGGTCAGGGACACGACCCTATGCTCTGGGTGTCCCTAAGCCTCTGAGTGCCAGAAGCTGGGACTGGATGACAGGGGATGGATCACTCGACAATTGCTTTGTTCTGGTCATTCCCTCTGAAGCACCTGGCACTGTCCACTGTTGGAAGACAGGATACTGGGCTAGATGGACCACTGGTCTGACCCAGTATGGCCATTCTTATGTTCTTATGCTCACTAAATAAGCAAGGAGTTTAGCAAGCATTTTCCTGTGAGTTAAAGCCCTTAAAGACTTTAATTACTGCTAATGCCTTTCATAGAATCATAGAAGATTAGAGTTGGAAGAGACCTCAGGAGGTCATCTAGTCCAACCCCATGCTCCAAGCAGGACCAACACCAACTAAATCATCCCGGCCAGGGCTTTGTCAAGCTGGGCCTTAAAAACCTCTAAGGATGCAGATTCCACCACCTCCGTAGGTAACCCATTCCAGTGCTTCACCACCCTCCTAGTGAAATAGTTTTTCCTAATATCCAACCTAGACCTCCCCCACTGTAACTTGAGACCATTGCTCCTTGTTCTGTCATCTGCCACCACTGAGAACAGCCAAGCTCCATCCTCTTTGGAACCCCCTTTCAGGTAGTTGAAGGCTGCTATCAAATCCCCCCTCACTCTTCTCTTCTGCAGACTAAATAACCTCAGTTCCCTCAGCCTCTCCTCGTAACTCATGTGCCCCAGCCCCCTAATCATTTTCTTTGCTTCAGAATCTAACAAAGGGTGCTTAAGAAAACAAGGAACTAAACCCAATATGTGATTCAGGGGTCATGGGAGAAAAGGAGCACATATGAACTACACAGGAAATCTGTACAGCCTGTTCTGAAGTGTATGTGTACCTTGATCAGCCTAGTATTTACGGCTAAATAGAGCCAGTCAACTACCGATTCTATTAGCATTCATTCAAAGCCATTCTGTAGACGTCTAAAGAACCTTTAAGTAGCTGGCGTTCAATAGATTTGTTTAATTGAATTGATTTTTTTAAAGGTAAAAAGAGCTGGGACATTCACTACTGAATATTCCTTGGAATATTATAGAGACACCATCAATAACCCACAAAATAGTTATGCTTCTGTCACGGTATAACAGATGAGATTCTCTATAGTTTGCTCCAACAAAACCTGTTACAGTCACATACACTTTCTAGCAGTCCAGCATTCGCGGAGGCCCCCTCCTTAAAACGTCCACATTCATGACAGTGATGACTAGTAACAAATCGGCCTGTGATGCATAAGTACTATTATGTTGTAACACAAGATGGAGAGCCAGGGTGGTACACACTTGGGATTATCCATCCAGGAGGGAGCAGTGGCATACAACATCTGGGGAGGCAGACAGAGAAGTGTACCATTTCCTGTGCTGCACCTATGTGGCTATGTTATGTCAGCAGTAGGTATATCCAGACCTGAACATCCCCAATGTGTGGAGGTGTTTGGATCCAGGATTTTGGTTCCAGACCATCTCTAAATGAGACAGATTAGAGTGCTTCCCTACGGTGCACCTGGACAGCACTCAGAACCCTTTCATGACACTGAGAATGCGTCCATGAAATAACATCCTTTCCCCTCCTCCTTGCTCTAAGTTTACTAGGTCCCATCCGTACTGGGGCTCAAAGAATAAAAACAGGTTTAAACACAAATTCCAGACTAATGAATTCCTACCCCTGTTTGAATAGGGGCCAATCCATGTTACTGCGGTGCTGCTGTCCGCGTCCTGGTTTAGGTTCTTTCTAGAGCGGAGTAGAGAAAGGCAATTCCATTTGGCAGAAGATTTCGATATTTCAAAATTTTCCACAAAAGAGAATGGAGCCTTGCCTCTGGGGCACTCTGCCTCATGGGCTGCCCTGGAGCCAGGGACCTTAGAAGCCCTGGGAACCCAAGGTGCAGAGAAGCCATGAGTCTAGGGTCCGGGGTTCCCAGAGATTCCAGGCTCTCATCTCCCCACTAGCTTACCAGCCAGACAGGCCAGTTGGCAGGAAAACTTCATCGAAACTGAACCACCTCTGCAAAACATTTCATTTTGGACAAATTGGCAAATTACAATTTAAAAGCATTTCATCGGATTTTTTGCCACCAGCTCTAGTTCCTCGCCTAGGATTTTCCCACAATTTCAAGCTACAACACATTTCTCCCTGGCCAAGCCATATTAATAACTTGCCAAGCTTGTGCTGAAGATGGACAGTAGCTGGAACATTGGGCTCATGTTAATCTCAAGACTCCTGGCATTTCACACACATGAGGGTGGTGAAGCACTGCAATGGGTTACCTAGGGAGGTGGTGGAATCTCCTTCCTTTGATATTTTTAAGATCAGGCTTGACAAAGCCTTGGCTGGGATGATTTAGTTGGGGATTGGTCCTGCTTTGAGCAGGGGGTTGGACTAGATGACCTCCTGAGGTCCCTTCCAATCCTGCTATTCTATGATTCTATGATTCAGGGCATGGGGAACGTTTTCTTGTACGCAGGCCCTTTCTGTTCAGTTCCACATTACTTCCTCATTTCTCACTGTACTCTAGCGTGTTATAGATCAAAATAAAGACCCAGTCAACTTTTTGGCTACATGAGATTCATTACGCTGGTACGGATAGTCTAGCTGTTGCAATAGCATAAATCAAACGTGCAATTTATGGCAAGAATAGACAAGGGCATTATTTAATTATATTAATGCTACTCCATGGCAGTTTTCTTTTTAAAAATTTGAAAGGAATTTCATGTAGGTGAAAGCTGACAGATTAATAGCTCTGGAGACTGCAGTTCTCCGTCTCTCCAAAGACTGATTCCTCAAAGCAAAGCTGAGCCATGCGACTCTTTCAATGTGACTCAGTCCTGAGCTGGAAGCATTGCTTCTACGGATGGCAGAGTCGTCCAGTCTCCAAGGCTCCTTCAGCCTTGATACCTCAAACTGGGATAGCCATCAAGAGGGTCGGGGGAGGCTGTCTACTTGCTGCCAGTTCTGCTGGTGTTTCTGTGGTGTCAAAGCCTTGTGCGCTCGGAGCTGGACCGACCTCCCAGTTAGGAAGGGTTGCTGATATTCAGCCTGAACTCTCCTTTATTGAATTTCTTCCCGTTTCTTCTGCTCTTACCCTCCTTCCCCCCTCCCTCCCCTCCGTGGACAAACCTGACCAATCCCCAGCACTTGGTGTTTACACCCTTCTGGGATTTATACACACGTACGTCTTCTGCAGCATTGACCATAGGAGAGGGAGAGGCATTCTCCATTTGTTACCACTGGTGCAGAAGCCAATTCTCCACTCACGCCTCATACGCTGGTTTTCTGTATCACAATAAGAGACCGTCATGTCCTGTCTATGGGAACTGGACTGCGGCTGGGTCTCCACTGCCAAGTTTAGACTTGCTCAGAAACCAACAACAAGAAAAAAACACCTCTCCTTGGCCGACTTAGCTACGCCACCAAAGCTCCCGACGTAGATGCAGCTATGCCGACCCGAGAGTACTTTTGTCAGCAAAGCTAACCTTGTTCAGGCAGGTTGTGTAGATATGCCAGGAGGAGAACTCCTTCTGCCAGCATATGCTGCCTCTACACTAGGGGCTCTGCTGGCATATAGATACACTGGCATACTAACAGGGCCTGAAACCACCACACTCCTTGTCACATCAGTCGCCAACCAGCCAGCAGATAGTAACAACTCTTGGTCTGTACCTACTTTTGGTTTGAGCCAGCTGCTTTGCTACAACAGGCTCCATCTCACCTTCCCAGTCCCCTGAGCCGTCCAAGCTACTCCTCCCCAGAATATATAGTTCTGGGAAGGGGTAGTCTGAGATCATCTCATTTTTTCCTCCTTTTGGTTCTCCATGCCCCTTCCAACACCCTGCATCAAGTCCACCTGTCTTTTTAGCTGAGGAGGATGAAAACAGCTCCATGAGTTCTGCTCCTGGAGTGACAGATGGGGGGTTGCTTACGAGCAATGCAAGGTGCAGTGTCCTCCGTGGAACTGAGCAGGCTGTTTCCACAGCACTGCGAGCACCTGCTCACCCAGGGAGCCCCACACCCTGCTGTCCTCTTCAATATCCCTTTTTAACGAGGCAACAAGATATTCTGCCAGTTCCTTGGCTGCACTCTTTGGAGTTTCATGCCCTGAACACATGCGGTGAAACATTAGCAACCCCAGGGAGCTGCGGAAGGGATCAATGTTCATTCCCATAGCAAATCAGCTTCCATTGTGATTTCTTTCTGCTGACGTCAGCAGCACAGTGGCCTGCTTACTTTACCTGGCAGGCATCCTTCCCTCCTTCCGCGGAGCCAGCACACAGTGTGTTCTCCGTTAGCTCCGGGACCCACTCGGAGCACTGCTTCTTGCTGATCAGCTTCATCTCCATTTTCTTTAGCCTCTTGGTTAATGTCGTCTTGTCCCCTAGCCGGAGAAAGGGAGGAGAGAGAGAGAGTGTGTAGGGGTTATGGGTGGTTAAGGAACAATCTAAAACCATATAATTCACATATCTGGAATCGGATCAGAGCCATGGCATATCGACCCTCAGGCTAAACTGTGGGTCTCCAACCCCAGCCCTGCAGTGGGGGTGCAGAGGCAATCACTGCAGCAGAAGTCCCTGGAGGTGATAAGCACCCAGATGAGCAGCCCCTTCTATGCCCTTTAACAAGCAGCAGTGTACAGGAGGGTTATCTAGATAGCACTGCTCTGAAGAGGAAGCAAGGGCTATAAGTACCAATTAGAAAATAAAAGCAACGCAGGGAGCAGAACAGGCAATCGGGGGGCAAATGAATGCCTAGCAAATCTCCATTGACTTAGAAGAATAGTGAGTTCAGCCCAGTAGGTTACTCAGCTGCAAAATTACTGAATTTAGAGCTCCCGACAACTGCAAGCCTCTTTGACCTCCAGCTGAGAGGGACAGGCGAGGTCCCTACCCAAGAAACTGTAACTGCAAAGCATGACAGTCCTGGAGAGTGAAGTCCCCTCTTTGTGTGTTTCACGTGTGGGAATGCAATCCAGACCAGTGAGGGGTTGTGTCACCATCTGCCCTGTAACCCTCAAAAAGCTTTACTGCTGTAACTCACTGCCTGGGATGCTCCCAGCCAGCCTCCCAGCATGCAGGTCACACCCTGAGTTTCTGTGTGTAGACAGCCCTGGTTCAGCAGCTCTGACTCCAGCAGCCTGTCTACAGCCCCACTTTGACTTCCACCAGCCTGGGTTACAACCAGCAAGGTGACCCCAACACACTGCAAGTCCTGAATTTACCCCAAACCTTGTGCTCTGCAATGTCCAGCCTGCTCCTGGACAGGTCAGGGAAATAGTATGGTTCATTTGTTCATTTAAAGACACAAAAACACATCACAGCTTATTAACTTAACTGGGGTGAATACACCCTTTTCCTTAAACACCACACTAAGCTGGTTTGTAGTAAAATAAAACACAATACATTAAGTGATGCTAAATAAAAGGAATCAAGTTAGAAAGGGTTACAAGCAAATACAAGTGAAAACAAGCATCTAAAAGGCTACGTCTTGATCTAGGAAGATGCAGGTAGTTTCTTTCACCAATCTTCCTTCTTCCCAGCCAGGGCTGACTTTCCCTCAGTCAGGACCTTCCACAAGAATACATGACGCTGGCTTCCCTTGTCTTCCTAGGTGAAAGATCTTTGCCTAAGCAGGTTTCTCACCTATATTCAGTTCCAGAGTTTTCAACCCTTCCCCCCTTGGTGTAAGGATCCATCTTTCTCGACTTGCAAGAGCTCTCTGTTCCCTTGATGGATGCCAAAGGTGGTTTCTGTCCTCCTTTATATCTCCCAAAGTTCAATGCCTTGCTGCAGGAGGCAGGAAGCTCTCCTGTGTGCTCAGCTTGCTGTGTCCACTGGGAAGCTGGCCTCATGCTGTTCTTCTCATGCTGTGGGCTTCCCCTGCATGTAAACGGGGCTTCCATTGTTTTGATTCTGCCATGCTTAATTCACACAGGAGACAGGTAAATAGCTGCCCCCCTTCTGTCTGGGTGAGAATTGCTCCTTCCTTGGTTTGACCACACACTATCAAAAATAGTATCAGTGAGTATTCATAATTCCTCACATAGTGTTAATATGTACATTTCACAGTGATATTAATCACCAGTGTGTCATTAGCTTGCTGAAAAGAACTCACTCTATATATACACCCTTATAAGACAGTAATATTTTGTACAATCAGTTGCTTATCACTTGAGGTTCAGCCCGTTCTGTCTTTGTAGCTCAGAGAAAGAGTCTCTTCCCTGCTGGGGTGTAGTCATGCTGTCTCTTCTCCACACTCCTTAGCTTGATGGGTCTGTTTCCGCTCTTTCTATGTAAATTGAGGTAAATACACATTTCTTGGTAGGACAGACCCATGTAACAACACTCCCGACACACCTTGTTTGCACACACTTTTTAGTTCTAGTTCCAGGAGCTATTCATAACTCTCAGTACCCCCTGCATGCAGACATCACACAAGAATAGTAATGATCAGTGAGCTATTCATTTTCAAATATAACTCACAAAGCCTAGTGTGTACAAAGATTGTTACAATAGTGTGTAGGGTGTGAATACAGGGATGCGTAGAGTGAAATTCACTCATGTGTAGAGGGTGCAGCACAAGCCTTAAGGCCCACAGGTGTGAATTTCACCCTTTCATTATAAAACAGGGAGGACAGCTTCCCCAAGCCACCCTTCCAATGTTTCCCAGCCCTGAGGATCTCTGGGGAGCTGACATTTCACTCTCTGTTGTCAATTCAGTCTAGGGATTCTTGGGTGAAACCACAAACCAATGGCACTTATGCTTTGCCTTATTAGTAGATAATTTAAAATTCTGCTTGTCTTTTTTTGTAGGAACACCAATTTTTCCTGTTTTTGCTGGAGAACGTCTTGGAGGACCAGTGACCTGGAACAGGAGATTTCTCACCACTCTGTGGAAAGGATAGAAATGCTGAACTTTTTACAAAGATCCTTTCTTGTTCTTTGTCTTCTTCTTTAGTTATTTAGTTATCTTTAGTTGTAGTGCCTTGGAGCCCCAATTGTGGGCCAGGACCGCACTGTGCTAGGCGCTGTACAAACACAGAACAAATTGACTGTCCCTGCCTCGAGGAATTTACAAGCCAAGTATAAGAGACAACAGATTGTATTGCACTTGAGTTAAACAGGGATGAAGGAGAAACAAACCAAAATCCATCCTCTTCTACAAAGACGTTTGAGGCCAAGCTTTTATAAGTGCTCATTATTGTTAGCGACTGTAAGGCTAATTTGAGAAGAGCAGGAGTAAGCACATGATCCTGTGGCAGGGTCTATTGAGGCTGTCTAGATGTTGGCAGGGAGGGTGTTGAACTTCTGCCTCTGATCTGAAGGAAAACCACAACTGCCTTTTCTGAGACTAGGGATCTCCAGAGTAACAGGCCTGGGCCAGCTGCGGTAATGACATAACCCTAGAAAAAACGGGTGATGGTTGGGTAGAATCCTGTGGCTGGCTGCGAACTGGCCATGAGGAAATTCTGGTGTGGTACGGCTGAAACAAGCCACAGTTCAACTCTGGACTTAAGCTGAGAAAAGCCTCTTTTGGCCCTTAGAGGGCCAGTACCCTCTTTTCTTCTTTGTGATGTTCTGCAATGAATTGCACTTGACTGGTTGCTAAGCCCCAGCTCAGCATCTAGAATCTATTGTTGGACTCACCATGGGGCTAAGTGGCAGGTCACAGAATCACAAAATAGCAAAGTAAATTGAATGGTCAATATGTTCTCTGAACAAGAGACGATCAAGGTCTAGACATCAGCCCTGCTTGTCCTTTGGTGCCTTTGCGGCATCTCCAAGACCTTGAAGGACTCATCACCTTTTTCTCTTACTAAGTGGCAAATAGACTTGAAATCCATGTTAGCAAACTGGTCGTTTCCCTTTTCAAAAAGAAACCAGAAAGTGTTTGCATGCACCAAATTCCTATGGAGCCATGAAAAGGCCTGAAATATTCATGGCTACAAGAAAAGTACATTCCTTTAAACCACATTCCCCTTCAGAACCCATCAGGAGCAAAGGAAGAGAAAGGCCCTTTGAAGGTGTCACAGTGGGAGGCATGTCAGCTGTAAGGGACTCACGCAGGGCAGGAGACACGTGCCCCTCCTAATTAGCCCTTCCCACGTGCATGCTGGGAGATCTCATAAGTACCTGGTTAAAGTTAAAGCTAGGCCCAAAATTGGCCCTCAGGCTGTGAATCCCTCCTCCCCTCCCCACACAACACATGGACTCAGTGTTGCCGAGGGGCAGTGTGTAGCCCTGAATTTGACCTGGGAGATGTTTCTGCCTCTGCGGTGGATTGTGTATGATGGAAGGGTCTGATTCAGCTCTCACTGATGGTGTGGTAAATCAGAGCTGAAGTCAATGGAGTGACACCAGTGTTAAATGAGACTGAGGAGAGAATTTTGCTGGGGGTCACCACTATGCTGTGGCCATTAGATGCAAAGTGGCTACAAGGCTCCCCAGTGAATGCTTCTTGGCACTGAACACCCCCACCTCAACCTTGTGCCACTTCCCAGTGCAGGGGGCTGTTTGTGTGGTAGGCTGGTGGTGGAGTGGAGGTGGGGTGAGGATGGAGAGGCTGCTGGGGCAGTTGGACCTGCCCCATGCTGATCCCCTGCTGCTGAAAGCCTCAGAGAGGCTATGGCAGAGGGAAGCACAATGAGGGCACCCCTTAAAGCTGCCGTAGTTTGCACTGGGGGTGATCCAGACCCCACGGTCCCTGAACAGAGGAGATCACCCCCCTTGAGTCCCTGTGCAGTGAGGAACCTGGGTCTGTTTAGGTACTAACATGGCCCTGATCACAGCTCAGCATCTACAGTGCTTCTTCCAAGACAAACCTTGCCTCCCTGTGGGAGGGGTGGGCAAAGTGGTTTGACACCAGCCTTGTGTCCTTCTGATTCCGGGCCGATCTTGGGGCCAAAATAGCTCCTGGCATAATTTCCGCTTCCAAGGGACTCTCCAAAGTTACACCAGCCTCCCCAGGCTGACCTATAGGTGGCAGTACACTGGCAGCACCCAAAGTGCTAGGCACTAGGAGTTGTCCCCAGGAGTTGTCCCTAGGCCATTGTAACTTCAGCTTCTTCACGGACCCCAGGGTGAGCTCAGCGTCCGTATGGGAGCTCAGCTAACCCGGCATTTTGCCAGCCAGGCTGTACAGAGGCTGACTAGCACCCGACTAGGAGAAATGAGGCTGAAAACACTGCCCCCCTCTGGCCATTTTGCGAGGCAGCTTATTAAAGACTCGCTGCTGAGGAAACACGTGGACACAAGAACAAAACATTGAGGAAGCCCCTATCCCCAGAAACAACAACTGAATAACCCCCAGGGAAATCACCCCTTCTATTTACTACTTTCTGGGAACCAACTCCCAGAAAACCCCCCCATGTGCCCAACATTCGTCTGCTCCCATGCTCGGCCTTTCTGCTTGTACGCTGCTGTTACCACAAGTAAAATAGGATCATATGGTTTATGGGGGCAAAAGGGATAGCAAGGAAAATACAGCCCCTCTACTACACAAAGAGGGAGTTCAGAGAGAAGACGTGGCTGAGACAATAGGCTCAAGTAGAGTGTGGGGCTGTTATACACCCTGGGTTGTTGGTACCATCCTACCCAAATGGTCTCCTTTCTTGAGTAAGTCTCAAATATTTACTCATGATCTCTCTTCAGCACTGTTTAGCTGAGCTAGGAATATTGGGCCAAATTCAGTCCTGGTGTCGATTCTCTTACTTCAGTGGGATTTCACCAGAGAGTAAACTGGGCCATTTCACAGTTTTATCCTGTCCGCCTGTGACATAGTGGGGATTTTCCCTTGTTACGTTGTATGTGAGACTATGTGAGTCTTACTGTTTTGCATGAATGCGGTGCATGCCTCAGTTTCCCTGTGTATTGCACCAATGTCTAGGTGGTGGGAATAAGGGTGTGTGACTTTTGCAGGGGCTGCTCCAGCTGCCTGCATGGATGCTATGGCCACCCCTTCATAACCTGAGACCCAGGAGGGAGATGCAACCAGGTGACTCTTGGCCTGGGAAGCAAGGCAGAGGCCGGAGGAGTAGTAAGAGCAGGGCAGGGGCCAGGCAGCTGGAAGCAAGTCAGTCTCGGCTGGCTTGGGGCGCAGGGGGAGGACTAGAGCCTTGGCTCTGGGCTCCCCTCCCCCTCAAGATGGACTTGGCTGAAAGTCACTGACTTCTGCGCTAACAAGTTCCGCCCTACGCTATGTTCTTGTTGACTAAAAAACCTTCTGTTTTACCGGCTGGCTGAGAGTCACATCTGACTGCGGAGTTGGGGCGCAGGACTCCCTGGCTTCTCCAGGAGCCCAGCCTGGGCAGACTTGCTGCGGGAAGCACACGATGTGGAAGGGGATGCTGAATGCTCCGAGGTCAGATCCAGGAAGGTCGAAGCTGTGTAAGCTTCTTGCCCTGGAGACGGTATGTTTAGAGAGAAGAGGCTCCCGCCGAGTGCTGGCTGGCTTCGTATGGAGTAGTTCCAGAGCACTGCCCCAGTGACTCCGTGACACCGCCTAAATCGGGCCCTCCAGCTGAAGAGGAGCGAACAGGCTGGAATCCACGGGAACAATCAGCCGGTGAACATATTTTCACCCAGGATGGTCCTAGCTCTCAACTCCCGTTCATTATGAACCACAGCTCACAATTTAGGCCCAGATTTACCTGCATCTCAGCCAAATCTGTTGTGTGTCTAGCTTTTGGGACTGAAAATTGGGGCCTTCGTGGTCTCCAGTTGGAACTATCTTTTCAAGGTGTGAGGTGTCTCATGTTGGAGGCGGGGAGGGGGCTGCCTCAGACTGAGGGGAGCTGCTGTATGTGAAGGAACCTGGGTGTCATAAATTGGGGAGGGGGCTGCTCTTTGTAAGGGTCAGGCTGGGTGCCTAGCACCTTTCACCTTCATCTCCTCCCTCCCCCACTCCTCCTGACACACCTACCTTGCTATCTCCAGCAGAAGGGAGAGCAGGCTGCCATCACAGCCTCCCTCCCAAACTTACAGGGCCTGTGGGTGCCCACTAGGTCATGTATATTTGGTTTGGGCCTTGCCCCACTGAGAGGAATGGCAGCTGCAGGCTTGCTGAAACCCTAGCTTCTTGCCTGGGCTATATATACCCCTCCCCTGTTTTGCTGTAGGGGGGTTATTTTAAAGTAAGTGAATGCAGACTTCATTGGCAAATAGCCCCCTACCGCCCGCCCCACAGTACAGTACCTGCAACCGGGGCTCCCCAACCAGCAACCCAGCAGCCCTTCCATGTCTGAAGGTCACGAATGAAGGGCAAGCAGATGGGCAGTTTCTGTTCACTGAACTCTATCGGTGAGTCGAGCAGGATCAAGGCTACGTCGTTGTCCATGTTCGCGCTATCGAAGTGCTCATGCAGAATCAGCCTGTCCAGCTTTTTCTTCTCTACTTGGTGGCTTTCCAAGTCGGCTGCCCCAAAGGCTATGTAAAGATCTGGTGGACTTAGTAACGAAATGGAGTCAAAGCGTGACCAAGGGGAGCAAAGTCCTTCTGCAAAGGTGGGGGGGACCCTCCTTCGGAGAGGGAGCTCAGAGCACGCTGCACATCGCAGGGTTGGGATAGCCATAGAGGCCGTGGGTGGACACCCAACCTCATCACTAGCGCTGGCAGCATTGCAAAACCATTTTCACAAAAGGCTGGATTCTGCCTCCCTCCCTCACAGGGAGTAGCACCTTATTCCAGGCGGAGCCAGACTGATTTCTTTGGAAGTACTTGTGGAGAAAGGGGGTAATTCACCCTTGTTCGAAAATGGGCTTAGTTTTGCTCAAAATGTTTCCGGTTCTGTCACTAGATGTGTATCGTCTGGCCCCCATCACCTCCCAATCTGTAATAGATTTATCCTCACAACACCCCGGTGAGGACAGGACGTGCTGGCATCCCCAGAACACAGATGGGTAAACAAGGCACAGAGCGACTAAGGGGCAGGCCTTGTGCTCATTGACTGTAGTACAGCAGGGCCAAGTATTCAGTGACTTACTCAAGGTCCCAGAGGAAGTTGTGGCAGAAAAGGGAAATAAACCTCAGTCTCCCAAGTCCCAGGTTAGCACCTAACCATTGGACCATCCATTTTCCTGACCTACTGTATGAACTTAGGCCAGGAGCACCCCCTTTTTTATGCCTCTATTTCCCTCCTACCCTTTGTTTTGTCCATCTGGTTGGACGTACTTTGGGGCAAGGACTATCTCTCACTATCTTTATGCGGCGCCTAGCACACTCCTAATCTGTGTGCAGTTATTTGCATCTTTTTTGAACCATTTTTGAGTAAACACCATTGTTCTGGGTTTTGTTGGTGCAAGAGCAGAGCCATGTTTGATTTCTCACCAAAGGGCAAAGACACTTCCATTGGGAAGGCCTCCTAACTTTCGTGCAAAGTTTTTGCCCAGGACCGCACATCATGCACCTCGTGTGGGAGCCAGGCAGGCTGCAGAAAGACAGCAGAGCTAATAGTGAAAACAGGGGGTTGGGAGCAAGGAGGTCTACAGGTAGCTCTACCACCGATTTCCTTTATGACCTGGGGCCAGTTCCTGAATGTCCCTTTCCCTACCTGTAAACTGAGAGTGATAGTTGGCTCATAAAGTGCCTTGAGATCCTTGGATGGAAGGGGCTTTACAAGCACAAAGGGCTATTGAGGAGCACTGTTACTCTAACAGGGGTGATGGGATTTGCGGTGGGTGGAGCTAAAGCACACTAGCTCGTCCTACTGGCAAGAGTTGATAATGAAAAAAGTAGGGATGCGCACAGGGCCACCACTCAGCCGCTTCACTGGTATTTGAGGCCAGGGTACTTGGGTTTCTCCGAATCCCACCCTGGTGTCTTTTTTCTCCTCCCTGTTTGGATAAGGTGAGACGCACCAAGAGACCTGCTTCTTCCTCCTCCCAGAAGACGAGAGGCGGCTGGTTGAGGCAGACTCTTCATCCCCGGCCTCCAAAGTGGGGCTGGGAAATGTGTCCTCACCAGACCAGATCAGGGGACAAGGGAGAGGATGGATTCTTCTCTCCCCTCCACTTCCTTTATATGAAACGTCCCTGACCCCTGAAATGCCACCCGCTGGCTAATGCGCTCACTGCAATCTCCCTTGCTTTTGATGGAGGGAGGGGGTGTAATTTACACCATCCTATTATTATTACCTAGCGTGATACGTTGCAGGAAAGGGGTGAATCTAGCCTAATAATAGTTGCCCTCTTAGAGCAGCCAGAAGGTAAGGATGCTCACCCAGAGTAGCAAAGGCTTCATGGCTGATTAACATGAGGTCAGCGTGGTCAGAGATGTGGTCTGATTGTGAAGTGAGGCTCTTCTCCATTCCTACATCATGGAGCTGGAGGGGGGTGAAGGCCGGAGGTGTGGAAAGTTTCTATGTGGCATAAACTTATTTCCTTGTCTGTCCCTAGCTAATGTGGCTGACTCACCTTATTTGAGGACTGCTCCCTGCCTGGTGTTGCCTCTACACAACAGCTGCAATGAGAAGGATTCCCTGTCCCCCCAGTCCCCCAGTACTCACAGTTCATTTGTGAAACAATGTGCCGCGGATAAAATCCACCAGCTGCTTATAATTGACCCGCTGCAAAAATGCTTCTCTTTGGTCTGGATGCTCACTTGCCAGGGGAACTCACTGGACGTGGCACCCATGCCTCCTACGGTCTTTGACTTTTTCAGCGTGGATGGTTTGTAAGAGGGTCTGAGGCCACATTCTAAAAACAAAAGGCAGTGCACTCTGTGTGTGTGTGTGTCTGGATACAGGTCACTTAAAATCACCCTGCAAAACAGATACAACCCACCCGCGGGGCCCCATTCTATGTTCACACCCGTTCTACACTGTTGTCTCTCTCTTGGCCTCAGTGGCGTTTTTCCTGACTTACATCATGTAAGAGGGCATAAAGCCCAGGGTTTATCTTCTGCAGTGACGCACCTAACTTGGAGGGGACAGAATCACTTTGGGTCTTTAGAGGTGGGCACAAGAAACAACCTTTGGATCGGGATTTCAAGCACCCCAAAGTTAAAAGCAGTAAGGAAGAGGATTTGGATCCTGGGGTTTGATTCAGCCTTTCTAAAGAGACAGGATATTTGCAATGGTGTGAATAATGCCAATACTATGCATTCTGTATTGGGCTCGCTCTCCTTTACCAGACTGCAGTGCATGGATTGATGTTCGCCTGGCTAATAAAAGGAATAAAAGAGAACGGTGTTGTCCTGGTTGTGCCCCGAGGGGTCCCCCTTCTGCTGATAACCTGTCTACTACAATCATTCTTGGGGCTGAACGCTCACACGTTCACCTAGATGTAAACCCTCACCTTGAGGTGGGTAATTGGTTAAAGTAACTCACAGCTATACATACGATTACACATAGTTTAAAAAACACCCTGAACTCTTTCCCCCCCCCCCCCAAAAAAGTCAGTTGTCTTCAAATGCTATTACAGGGGTGGCCAACCTGAGCCTGAGAAGGAGCCAGAATATATCAGTGTGCATTGCCAAAGAGCCACAGTAATACCTCAGCAGCTCCCCACTTGCCCCCAGTGTCTCCCACCCGCCAGCAACGCTGCCGATCAGCACCTAACCCTCCATCCCTGCGCCTCCCATCCGCCATGATCAGCTGTTTTGTGGTGTGCAGGAGGCTGGGGGGTGGGGTGGAGGAGCAAGGGTGCAGCAGACTCAGGGGAAGGGGCTGGGGCCTTGGGGGAAATAGTGGAGTGGGGCTGGGGCCTAGGGCAGAGCCGGGGGTTGAGCCGTGAGCAGCCCCAGGCACATGGGAAAGTTGGTGCCTGTAGCTCCAGTCCCGGAGTCGATGCCTAGACAACGAGCCGCACATTAACCTCCGAAGAACCGGATGCGGCTCCAGAGCCACAGGTTGGCCACCCCTGGGCTATAAAGTCAGACTTCGGACCCAGTGGCCTTTACTTCGCTGTCTCATTGTGCCTATGGAAATTGCTCAGTTATTGCACCTATTAGGGCTGTGAACACAGATGTCCTAGACTGCACACAAGCAGCTGAAATGCTGTTTCTGGTTGAGGCTGGAGAATGACACTAATGCACTGACAGCCTACGAGGCAGTGCCTAATTCTCCGCTCACTCACGCTGGGGCAAAGCAGACGGAGTTATAACACGAGGGCAGAACCAGGCTCCCACTGAGGACAGTGCTCAGGGTTTATAATCCACCTACCTGTATGTGTGCTCCTCATTAGGGCAGTTAGAAGCCAGAGGGTAAGGAACAGCATTTTAATCCCATTCTAACTTGATGCTCCTTGTTCATGATCAAAGAGGCGAGGCTGTGGCAGATACCGAGGGGCAACCTCCCCACACCATATTCTAGCTAAAGGCAACAATTCCCTCTGCCTAGAGGTGACCACAATATTCCTCATCATCTGCATGTGACCTCACACAATCTATTCACTTGAGGTGACATCACAATGGGATGCCTGTCTGGGGGGAATCGAAGGAGTTTTCAGCAGGACCAAGGACAGCTAGACCTGAGCTATAGGGTTGGCAACCAGGTGGGAAATTTCCCAAGTCTCATAGTTGGTTCAGCCCATGATAGGGATGGAACAGCTTGGAAATTCGCTTCTGGGTCCTGATCTCAGTTCCGGCTAGGTCTTGGTGTGTTTGACTCCTTTGCTCCAGTTCAGGTCCAGCTCTAGTAATGGGTGCTGTAGTTTTTCCTCATTCCTGTACCATTTTGTCTCTCTGTGTAAGTTCCCAGCTCTGCCTTCCCTGCAACAGTTTTTTTTTTTGCCCATGAGAGGAGCTGATTCATTCTTTCAAACCTCGGAAGGACTTTCTCTTCCCTCTCTACACCTTCCATGTCGTCTCTGCGGGAAGTGGAAACTCGTTGCGAAGGTAAGTGCTGTCAAAGAGAAATGTGGCTGTGGCGATGTCCAAACAGCCGACCGTCTTCCCCTTGGTGAACTTCAGGCTAAACACAGCTTATACGGCCAAAGCCATCCCTAATGTCACTCCATTGAGCTGAGTTCAGTGAAGTTCCACCAGTAAAGAATTTAGCCCAATTTCCATCTTGCACCTTCAACAAGAGCTGGAAAGTTGCAGGGCCAAAATTCACCTCAGGGGTAACTCCACATTGAATTCAGTGGAGCTCAATATTTTTGGGTCAGATCCTAGCTTGTGTAACGTCAATGGAAATATGCTGATTTACATCATCTGGAGAATGTGACCCCTTATTTCTATCACAGCAGCCCCCAAGGGCCCCAACTCAGATCAGAGCTGAGCCCTGCCATGCTCCGAGTTGGACAATCACATATGGAGACATTGTCCCAGCCCCAAAGAGATTACAGTCTAATTTGAAACAGGGTGAAAAGAGTAGGAGGAAAGCGAGGAGGGAGGACGGGGTACCAGTGTTAAGAGTGTCTGATGACATGGGCTAACAATGAGCAAGGCTCCAAATCATGTAAATGGTTTTTGTGTTTTACTCTTGAGGATCAAAAATGAAATCATTGCCCCCAGTAAAGAAATTTGCATCTCAACATGACATGGATCAGAGAATCAGAACCTGGTTCTCCTCTTGCACACAGGTGCAGACCAGGAGTCATTCCACTGACTTTATGCAGGTGCAGACCAGGAGTCATTCCACTGACTTTATGGAGTTACACTGGGGTAAAAGACAAAGAATCAGAAAGGAGAATCAGAACTTTCATTGTCCTCTCCCCTTTGCTTCCATTTCACCCCATGCCCAGAAAATCAGAGAAAAGTGCCAGTTTCCTTGACAGTGAACAACAAAACAATTCAATGGTGTGATATTTAACAAAATGCAGTCTGTTACTATAGCAACTGGAAATTCCAAGCGGGATGCTGGAGCATATGGGAGCATCTCCAGAAAGAGCTGCACATTACAATCATACCAGGAACAGTCTCTTTTACGCCCCCGCCCCAGCATAAATGCGATGACAAACAAAAGAAATTTCCTCTTGCTTTTGAAACTGGACTGGGATAAGCACAGAACCAGGAGGAAGGAGTTTCTGGGTGCTGATTCCAGTTGTGGCACAGACTCTCCCTGTGGGACCTTGGGCAAATCACTTCTCTCTGTGCCCTAAATCCCCATCCCCTTCTTTCTCTCACCCTAGATCTCTCCTGTCTATTTAGATTGCAAACTCATCAGGGCTGGGACTGTCTCTTACTATGTATTTGTACAGCACAAGAGGGTTCCAGGCACCTAGGTGCTATTGTGGTATCAAAAAGGTCAGTAATAATTATTTTACAATTCATTAGCTTTTAAAGCCAACCTGAAATCTACTCCACTGTACAAGCATACACAAGAACACAGATGGAACACCAGGTTTTTTTCATTAGCGCGTTGCAGCCTTTTATTATGTTTGCGACATTTTTCAGATCTAACCTGTCATATATTTCAGTTCACAAAACACCCGTGATGTGCTCTATCATAGTGCAGGAAGCCAAGCGGAATCTTTTTGTATTTACACACTTTTTGGCCCAGTAGGAAAAAAAAAAAACCCCTTACATTATACTTTTTTTTTTTTTAACTAAAATTGTTTCAGGAAATGGGCACTCCAGGTAATAATGTATATTGCTGTGAACGTGGAACTGTGAGAGATTAAATTCCCCACCCCACCAAAGACATCAAAGCGCAGCTACTATTGTTAAAATAACCCCTAGAATACTTTCTAGAAATCAAAGCTCTGCATTTTCATGCTGAAGCCTATCGAGTTCATCAGATTAAGACAACAAACATTAACATGAGTTACAAAAAGCAGCTGGTAGTCCAGGCACACCCCCTATTTACTCTGGCCCTGGCTGGGATGATTTAGTTGGGATAGGTCCTGCTCTGGGCAGGGGGTTGGACTAGATGGCCTCCAGAGGTCCCTTCCAACTCTGTTATTCTGTGATTCTATACTCCTATTACAATACACTGGGCCAAACTTCCGAAAATCTTTCTCCTGAAATTAACAACCGCAAGATTGCATGTATACTTATTTAAGTGCACAAATTGGGCAACTGCATTTCCAGCCATGGCATGAGGCGCAATTTCAGAAACAACTTTGACCTTTCGCAAATGTGAAATCAAGGAACGCCACGCACTCAATGTACAAAATGCTGTTCCTTCATTGCTGCACAAATTTTGGTGTAATAGTGCTGCATTAGTGTAGTATACTCGGTGATGCTCTGTACTTTGGGGGAACACCCTGCACCCCCATGGTCATCTTTATAAAATGACTGTGTGGTATCCAATGCCAAGTTTGTCCTGTTGGGTGTCTTCGGAAGGCTCGTGATGCACTGAATATTGTTGTTATAGTGATGTTATGGTAATTGTTACAGTCATGTTATAGTGAGGTTTATAATTTCATGTATATAGTTATGAGGCTGAAAATGTATCCTCATGGCTTAAAGCAAGCCCATGCAAAAACTCTCCAAGAACAGAGGGGCAGTTCACACCTCATCAGGGCATGGATGGGACAAACCCAGCCCAGCCTCACAGGAACAATGGACGCTGGCTTAGGCAGCAACAAAAGAATCTGTTAGACCCTTGAGGGAGTCACCCCTTTCCTTTGGTCAGTTTGGGACTGCGATGAGGTAATGCTCACCTGACTCTGAAAGGGTGCGAGGGTGGGGGCAAAACCAAGCGGAAAGGAAGGACATGATAAAAGGGAGAGACATTTTGCCATGCTCTCTCTCTCTTCCACCTACATCTACAGACACCACCACCATCAAGTGACTGAAGAGCTGATCAAAGGGGAGAGCCTGGCTGAAGAGTAGCCAGCCTGTCGTGAGAAGCATCTAAGTCTGTAAGGACATTGAAAGTGTTAAGATCAGCTTAGAATGCATTTTGTTTTTATTTCATTTGACCAAATCTGACCTGTTATGCTTTGATTTATAATCACTTAAATCTACCTTTATAGTTAATAAACCTGTTTGTTTATTCTACCTGAAGCAGTGCATTTGGTTTACAGTGTGTCAGAGACTCCCCTGGGGAGAACAAGCCTGGTACATATCAATTTCTTTGCTAAATTGATGAACTTATATAAGCTTGCAGCGTCCAGCGGGTATAACTGGACACTGCAAGACAGAGGTTCCCAGGGTGGTGTCTGGGACCGGAGGTATTGGCTAGTGTCATTCGCTTGTAAGTAGCTGGGGGTTCTCACAGCAGAGCAGGGTAGGGCTGGCTTCCAGAGTCAAGGATTGGAGAGGCCTAGCAGATCACTGGTCCAGATAACACCAGAGGGGAACATCACATACTCCTGTTGGAATTCTGTGCCACTGAGCAATGCAGAATTTGGGCAGAATTAATGTTCTCCGCACAATTTTATTTTTGTCACACAGAATTTGTGATTTCCACCAAAATGCTTCCTTTTTCCAGTTTTGCATGTTTAAAATGTATTAGTTATGTACACACGTAACGTCTTCTATGTGTATTGTAAGGCTTTTGGGTCATACTACTGTAGCGGGAGGGGGTTAGTGAACTAGCGGAGTTTAGTTGTAGTACAGTGGGTGGTTAGCCTGGGGAAGGGAGACTGAGGGTAGAGTGTGTTTGTCTTCACACGCACATGAGCACTCTTCACTTAAACTCCACTCCACATGCATCTGACACTAGTGGTGCTGCCCCCCCCTTATACTCCCTGCCAGCCTGAACCTGCCCTCCTTCGCTCCCACATCCCCCCAGCGCTCCCGCCTGTACCTGGAGGGGGGGCGTGCATACTACCTCTGGAGATGAAGGGGTGTTGTCTGGCAAACTATGTACGTGACCCAACCCACACAAACACAAACCCCCACGCCCCGTACGTAAAAACACACTCGCCCTGACACCCACATTCTACCCTAGGTCTCCCTTCCCCATGCTAACCACCCACTACTCTGCAACTAAACTCTGCTAGCTCACTAACCCCCTCCTGCTACAGTGGTGTGACCCAAAAATCTTACAATACCCATAGAAGCTTGAACTTGGACAAGACATGACAGACAGACCGACACAAAACTGTCCCTAAGGATGCTAATGCCCGCTTTGGCCAGGTGGTTACAATAATTTGTGTAACATACATTTGTATAATGACTCTTTTTAAATTAAATATATAATTTCACTGAACCAGAATATAACTGTCAACAAAGATACATCAAGTTCTTTATTAATATGCCTAGTAAGGAATCGATTTGTCAAAAAACATTTCCTGAATCTTTTTGTTGTCTGTATTGTTACAGACATACTTGCTGGCAGGTATTTTGAAATAAATTACCAAAATAATTGGAACAGGCGTGATTATATTGTGTTCTTTTGACAACTAAAATATGCAGAATTTTGCAGAACTGTAAAATATTGTGCAAAGAATTTTTAGTTTTTTGGCAAAGAATTTCCCAGGGAGTAATCATCAGATAACACGTCAAGTTGCTTTACTTTATGTTTCTAGCAGAAACATAATACAATGTTGGTGCAGTAGTGCGTGCACAGATTATTTTTTAATACTAACAGGACAGGATACCCCAGTGCCCCCAAGTCCACAATAGCCACGGGGGTTCTTGCTTAGATACTGTTGATGGTAATCTTCAGCATAATAAAACTCCGGAGCCTCACGGATTTCTGTTGTGATTGTGTCAAAACCACTCTCTGTCAATACCTGTCAAGACACGGTACAGAATTCCATTAGAGGTTTGTTTGCGTCTGTGTGAGAAATAAACCTGATGATAAACCAACATTAGGAAATCTTATTCAAGAGATGCCCTAGACTTTTACAGTTGCTTGTACAACAGTTACAGAACAGCCTTGATTTTACCACGTAGATTAGAAAGACATCCTGCTTCATCTGTGCTTTTATATTATTTGGGCAGCAGACACTCGAGGCATCAGAGTGTGTCTGTGCACGGAGCAGTGTGCGTGTTTTAGCTTACTTCTAACTGGTTACATTTTGAATGGGATGTTCTTGTTTATTAAGTTTTGAGGAGGGGAGGGAGGAGCACCTATGAATCTTAGGGTATGCCTATGCTGCAAATAAACACCCACAACTGGCCCATGTCAGCTGACGCATGGGGCTTGGGCTATGGGGCTGCTTAATTGAGGTGTAGATGTTCGGTCTTGGGCTGGAGCCTGGGCTCTGGGACCCTCCCCTACACCGATTTATATGCAACAAATTAGTGTGCTTTAGAAATCCCCCTAGTGCACACTGTTGCACCACGTAGAGATGCCTGTGAGCTCTGATTAGTTCTATCGACAATAAGAAAAGGAGGACTTGTGGCACCTTAGAGACTAACCAATTTATTTGAGCATGAGCTCTCGTCGAAAGCTCATGCTCAAATAAATTGGTTAGTCTCTAAGGTGCCACAAGTCCTCCTTTTCTTTTTGCGAATACAGACTAACACGGCTGTTCCTCTGAAATCTATCGACAATGAATTCCTTAAGGTGGAGCTACAGTCCTGGGGTGAAATCCTGGCTAGAAGTCTGCTCGGGCCTAATTTCAAAGTCCAACCTGAACCCAGCTAGAACACAGCCAATCTGAAGCCGACCCGAGCCCTGGCATGTCGGCTTGTCCTCAGACATGACCCAAACCGGACACTTGTAGTCAAATCTCTTTGGGTTGGGTTGGGTTGCCAAGGTCTAGCCACCATCCCGGACACCATTTTCTTTACTTTGTTTCCGCCACATTGCTGCTGAGGCTAATTACTGCCCAAGCTTGGGCCGGCTGGCTGGCCGTTCCCTGGTCCAGCCCAGCACCCGTGCACCAGTTTCCCGGGACCGCTCCTCCTGAATCTGTGTCAGCGCCACCGAGAGAGCCTCGATCCTTGGCCTCTGCGTAGTGGGGCTCCGTGCGCCCCATGTCGACGATCCGCCGCCTGCCCGTGGAGTTGTTGCAGCGATGGGTGGCTGCCTTGCTCCTGCTGCCGCCCGCCACGCTGCATGTGCTGTGGAGTGAGCGGCACCGCGACGCATCGGCACGCTCACTCTGCAGCGCACAGCGCCCTCTGGTGGTGGCATCTGGCTGGTCACAGTCACCGCTGTGCCCAGCTGATCAGAGACTATCTGATCCTGAGAGCGAGTGCCAGGTTTTTTTCACACCCGACCCAACCCTGTAGCTGGGTCCCGTTGTGTCGCAAGGCTCTCACCCTAGCCTCACTCAAGTCCAGAGGAATTCTGCTACTGACTTCAATGAGACCTGGATTTCACCTCTGGTGTCTTAACGTACCATCTGTCCTGCTGAAAAGCAGCCTCTCTATAAGAATGTTCAGTCGTTCAAATAAATTCACCCCACAGGGGTTGAAAGTTCTTGCAGGAAAGGAGGAATGTTAGGGTTGCAGTACTGTAGGATAGCACTGATTTTCAACAAACTGACAAAAATGTGTCTATTTCAAAGCATTTTACAAAAGGTAATCAAGCATCATTACCCCTGTTTTACAGCAGGGGAAGCTGAGGCACTGAAACAGTCTGGCACCGTTTTGTAAAAAAGTGGTCACTGATTTAGAGTGTCTTAATTCGCAGGTGCCAAACTTGACTAGAGTCCACTCGCAGTCAATAGGAGCAATGGACACCCAGCACCTCAGCGAATGAACTGCGCCTTTCAGGATTGAGCCTCGAAGCCTGAGCCAAAGAAGTCACTGTTCTCTATTGATATAAAAATCTGAAGGTGGCTGAAAATACATTTGGAAACCTCTTAAAGGTGGAAATACCTGCAGGTATGGCACTATTCTGGATAACACCGTTAACTCTGAGGTATTGTTCGCTGGCAAATAAAATGGCCATCAAGACAATTACTTTGACTAATGTGGAAAATACAGAGATGGCCCCCAGAGATTTGAAGACCACGCTCTAAAAAAAGTTAAGAGCCACATTTGGGTTCCATTCACAGAGCCTCTGGAGTTTCTTCTCCCAAGGCACATAATTCCATTAGGATCAGAAAGATATTTCAAGGCAAATTGTGTACATCTGGACAAGAAGATTTGCCAAAGCCCAGGCCAATGGCAATGGTGCACAGTTCGCAGATCAGGGAGGTGGGTGTAGGGGTGGATATTTTAAATTAGACTTGGAATTCTTCAGGAGCCCCAAAATGAACGTGAAATCCCTCAAAGTCTCCTAAAAGCTGAAAGTTTTTCTTTTTAATATTAAGCTGCCATGCAGTTTTAACTATCACATTTTTCTTTTCTAAGCAAATCGACAAGTGCTGACACTTTGGACCCAATTCTCCTCTGATTCAGGGCTTTATTGTACGCTCATTGAAGTCAATAGCAAAGCTCCAATTGACTTTAATGGTGCAGGATAAGGACCTTAAACTGGTGTAGCACAGGAGTAACTTTGTGGAGGCAAATGGAGTTACACCAGTATAAGACAAGTGTGACAGCAGAATCAAGCCCGAGAACAATGTATGGCCAAGCACTTATCTTATCAGACAAACATGTACTAAGCCTCACAACACTGACAACAAAACTGATAAAAGGAAATTCTTTTTCAAAGACAGCACTAAGGCCAAGGTCTCAGCAGGATTCAATAAGAGGACAGGCCCGTTAGAAAGATAAGAATATAAGAACGGCCATACTGGGTCAGATCAATGGTCCATCTAGCCCAGTATCCTGTCATCCGACAGAGGCCTGAGCCAGATGCTTCAGAGGGAATGAACAGAACAGGTAATCATCAAGTGATTTATCCCGTCGCCCATTCCCAGCTTCTGGCAAACAGACGATAGGGACATTTCGGAGCATGGTTTTGCATTCATTGGTGGACCTATCCTCTATGAACTTCAGCTCTTTTTTGAACCCTTTTATAGTCCTGGCCTTCACAACATCCTCTGGCAAAGAGTTCCATAGGTTGACTGTGTGTTGTATGAAGAAATACTTCCTTTTGCTTTTTTTAAACCTGCTGCCTATTAATTTCATTTGGTGACCCCTAGTTCTTGTGTTATAAGAAAGAGTAAATAACACTTCCTTATCTACTTTCTCCACACCAGTCAGTCATGATTTTATAGATCTCTATCATGTCCCCCCTTAGTCATCTCTTTTCCAGGTTGAAAAGTCCTGGTCTTATTAAGCTCTCCTCATATGGAAGCTTTTCTATACTCCTAACCATTTCCCCCCCCTTTTCTGTATCTTTTCCAAGTCCAATATATCTTTTTTGAGATGGGGCGACCACATCTTCATGCAGTATTCAAGATATGGGTGTACCATGGGTTTATATAAATGCAATATGATATTTTCTGTCTTATTATCTATCCCTTTCCTAATGATTCCCAACATTCTGTTCACTTTTTTCACTGCTGCTGCACACTGAGTGGATGTTTTCAGAGAACTAGCCACAATGACTCCAAGATCTTTTTCCTGAGTGGTAACAGTTAATTTAGACCCCATCATTTTATACTTATAGTTGGGATTATGTTTTCCAATGTGCATTACTTTGCATTCATCAACACTGAATTTCATCTGCCATTTTGTTGCCCAGTCACCAAGTTTTGTGAGATCACTTTGTAACTCTGTGCAGTCTGCTTTGGACTTAACTACCATTTTGTACCCTCTGCAAATTTTGCCACCTCACTGTTTACCCCTAGAGTTATAATAGTAAAGCTTCAAAATAGAACAGAGAGTTTTGGAAGGAATACAAACCCCTCCTGCTCCAGGCATGAGCCAACATCTATCTAGTGGGGTTGGGAGGAAATTTTCCCTGGGGAAAAGTTATGCCGTAATTACCCACTGCAGGGTTTCTAGCTCTTACCTCTGAAGCAACTTGTCCTGGCTACTGTCAGAGACAAGATATTAGGCTGAATGACACACTGGCAGTTTTGTATGTGCATGGGTATATTACTACTAAACTCCTTTTACAGATGGTCAAATGCGGCACGGAGTCAGGTCAGACAGAGTAACATGCCTGAGATCCCAGAAGAAGTCGGTGGCAGACGTGGCACTAGAACTAAGGACTCCCAATTCCCAATTCTCAAATCTAAATACAGGGGAATTAGGAGGAGCCTGGAGGATAATCCTAGCTAACCTGCTAACTCAATGTGAGGTCCTGGGCAAGTCCCATCATTGCCTTTTGCTTCAGTCAATGTATGTTGGAATACTGGAGGGCTAAAAGGCAAGTTCTCACTAGGAACTGGATGCTGCATCTTAACTGTGCTTTCCTAGGCAAGAACATTTCAAACACGGAAAATGGGTACTCTCTGGGGAAGCAGAAAAACAAATCTGTCAGAATTGTGAGTGAACAGTAGAGAAAGCTGAATGTATATTTCCCCACAGAGCCTGCAATGAGTAACTCGCAGAGTCTGCGTCACACAGCTGAGGAATCAAGCATAATGCACTTTAGAAAGCATTGTTTTGTTTAGTTTCTTGCACTGAGGTGTTCTGAAGAAAGAATTTTTAAAACTGTCTCCACTCCAGAAAGCCTGGCACAAACATTGATCATCATCATGATTATTAATTCATCTAGCACTGTAAATGTACGTGGTACTGCATTACTTCCTGTCTCAGTCAATGGATATACCAGGACTGTATGTAACTATTCTTGTAGCAGATTTCTATCTGGGACGTTTCCATCAATCGCCTAATTTTGTCCATTAGAAAAATCCATCCTGTTCAATATCCTACCACAAGAGGGCATGAGCATCATTTTCCCTTTTTAAAATTACTAACAGGCTATTAAAAGTGG